GGGGGTCAGGGCCGATACACAGGCCTGACTCACCCTGATATGCAGGCGTCCGTGATGCCACACATGGGATGGAACCCGTGGTTTCAACCAGCGCTGAAGGGGGCGCATACGCAGCAGACCCAACTGTAGCACTGGAGATGCTGCTGCCATGAGGCCCTGCCTCCTTTGAAATACTTTGAGAGGGCGAGCGGTACCGATCTTAAAGGAGGCCGCCAGCCTCTGTATGGCCAGAGCTCGTTCCGGCGTGACTACAGCTTTCATTTGGGCTGAGTCGAAAATTGTTCCCAGGAACGAAATTCGCTGGCTGGGAAGCAACGAGCTCTTGGCAAAATTGACCCTGAGTCCCAGGCACTCCAGGTGGCTGAGGAGGAGGGTTCTGTGAGATATTAATTCTGCCTCCGACTGGGCCAGAACAAGCTAGTCGTCGAGGTAATTGATATTACTGATTCCCATCTGTCTTAGAGGCGATCCATGCACTTCAAGTTTAAGTTTCAAGTTTACTTTATTTATATAGCACATTTAAAACAGCCACAAGACTGACCAAAGTGCTTCACAGTAGGAAACGTCATCATAAAATTTAGTAATACAAAAACTGCAACCAGAAAATTAAAACACAAATAGGAAATACAATAGGCAAAAATATAGTCCTAATAGGCCAATGAAAACAAATGGGTTTTTAAAAGAGACTTAAAAATAGACAGGCTACGGGCCGTTCTGATCTCCACTGGCAAGTCATTTCAAAGACGAGGCCCAATTACTGAGAAGGCACGGTCACCTCTACGCTTGAGTCTGTTATGCGGAATTACAAGAAGGTTCTGGTCGCAAGATCTTAGACTTCTTGAGGGGATATACTGATGCAGCAATTCAGATAAAAAAACAGGTGCTTGATTGTGCAGAGATTTAAAAACAAATAATAAGATTTTAAAATGTATTCTACTGTATTTTATATAAATGTAAATGTATTTTACTTCGTAAAAGTGCGGGGGAAGTTTCAAGTTTACTTTATTTATATAGCACATTTAAAACAGCCACAAGACTGACCAAAGTGCTTCACAGTAGGAAACGTCATCATAAAATTTAGTAATACAAAAACTGCAACCAGAAAATTAAAACACAAATAGGAAATACAATAGGCAAAAATATAGTCCTAATAGGCCAATGAAAACAAATGGGTTTTTAAAAGAGACTTAAAAATAGACAGGCTACGGGCCGTTCTGATCTCCACTGGCAAGTCATTTCAAAGACGAGGCCCAATTACTGAGAAGGCACGGTCACCTCTACGCTTGAGTCTGTTATGCGGAATTACAAGAAGGTTCTGGTCGCAAGATCTTAGACTTCTTGAGGGGATATACTGATGCAGCAATTCAGATAAAAAAACAGGTGCTTGATTGTGCAGAGATTTAAAAACAAATAATAAGATTTTAAAATGTATTCTACTGTATTTTATATAAATGTAAATGTATTTTACTTCGTAAAAGTGCGGGGGGCCAGGGACAGCCCAAAGGGAAGGCCCGTATATTGATAAGCCACTCCCTCGAAGGCGAATCTCAAGAATGGCCTATGACGAGGGGCTATCTGGATGTGAAAGTATGCATCATTCAGGTCCAGAGAAAAGAACCAGTCTCCCGAGCGAATTTGCGCGAGGTTTCAGTGTAATCATCCTGAACGACCTCTTCATGAGGGCGCGATTCAGGTGTCTGAGATCGAGGATGGGTCAGAGGCCACCATCTCTTTTGGGGACGAGGAAGTAACGGCTGTAAAAGCCTGACTCGCTCTGGGCTGGAGGAACATTTTCCACGGCTCCTTTTGCCAGCAAATTCATCACCTCTGAGCGCAGGACGTGAGCGTCCTTGCTCTGCACTGAGGTGGGAAACACGCCGCTGAAGTACGGGGGTCTTCGAGTGAATTGGAGTGAATATTCTCACTTTATTATCCCCATAACCCATCTCGACACTCCGGGGATGGCCTGCCAGGCCTTAGCCCACGTGACGAGGGGTTGAATTAACTCGGGTGATTGGCCGCACGGGGGCAGAACACTTACGAGTAATAGATGAGGAATTTTGCCCTGTCAAAGAGCTGCGTGGAGAGTGATGCAAGCAGGGGCCTTGCCGGCTTTAATCACTCAAGCCTGATCGATCATACTCGCGAATTTGCCATTTCTGCTTCCGAGTAACTGGGAGGAGAGAAACACCAGAGTGGGGGAGGCGGGGCTTAGCGACGCACACACAAATGCGAAGCTGCCCGTGTTTCGCTTTGATCTGCCTGGGAGGATTAAACTGCTTGGATATCGAGGTGCACCGATCCTCATGTGTAACACACACTGACAGATTAAGCACGCATGATGTGTATAGAGGATTGCTCAAGTCTGATCGTTCAACCCGCGTGCTCATCGTTGCTTCCTCCGAGGTAGCTGGGAGGAGAGAAACATGAGCGCGGGGAGGTGGGGCCGCCTTCCGCGAATGAACGGGGGCAGATTGCTTTTGTGATAAAAGCGGCCCGTGTCTGTGAGCGCAGCCACACACACAAATTTGAAGCTGTCAGCGGCAGCATCTGCTTCGATCTACTTTGTAGGATAGAGCCGCTCGATGTAAAGAGGGGCACTGATCCTATTGTGTGAGACACGGATCGAAGCGCAGCGGGGAGAGCGAGTACGCAGGCTCTGTGTTGGTGTGAGATCGCTCAGACCCTCGTCGTTCCTCTCTCCGAGGCTTGCTGAGGGAGGAGAAATGTGAGAGTGGGGCTGTTCAGTGAAAGGCAGTCCGCGAGTGGAGAAAAGCGAGACTCATGCTCGAGTGAGCATTCTGTCTCAGTAAGCGCGTAGCTCACTGCCCTTCTGCGGTGGTTCCGAGTGCAACGGAGAGAGAGCACGCAGGCACAGCGCCGGCATGAGATCAGTCAGACCGATTGCTTATTCCCTGACTCCGCTGTTTCCCTCTCCGAGGCTCGCTGAGAGAGGAGAAATGGGAGAGCGGGGCTGCCTCCAGTGAAGGCGGTCCACGAGTGGAGAAGAGTGAGACTCATGCTCGAGTGAGCATTCCGTCTCAGTGAGAGAGCAGTCTCTGCGTGGGGTCTGCCCAGACAGATGACATACTCATTGCTCTTCTGCATCGTGCAAGTTTCTCTGCAGGAGCCACACTCGCAGAGCGACATTTGCAACAACCTCGCTAGAATTTGCTCTTTTAGGGCTTACCTGCTAGAAATAAACTTTTTTAGAATCGCCGGATAGCGGCAGGGGAAACGGACCAGAACTGCTGCGTCGCTGTAGCGGCGGAGAAGCAGGTCAGCTGTGCTGAGAGGTCCCGATTCCAGCTGCGAAGGCGTGTCAACGGCGATCAGGCTTTCAGGATCAGCGATGAGCGTGGAGCCGTCGCTGAAGGAGAAGAAATCTGAGAATCCTGTGGCAAGCACCCACTTACAGGTGCATCTCAATAAATTAGAATGTCGTGGAAAAGTTCATTTATTTCAGTAATTCAACTCAAATTGTGAAACTCATGTATTAAATAAATTCAATGCACACAGACTGAAGTAGTTTAAGTCTTTGGTTCTTTTAATTGTGATGATTTTGGCTCACATTTAACAAAAACCCACCAATTCACTATCTCAACAAATTAGAATACTTCATAAGACCAATAAAAAAAACATTTTTAGTGAATTGTTGGCCTTCTGGAAAGTATGTTCATTTACTGTACATGTACTCAATACTTGGTAGGGGCTCCTTTTGCTTTAATTACTGCCTCAATTCGGCGTGACATGGAGGTGATCAGTTTGTGGCACTGCTGAGGTGGTATGGAAGCCCAGGTTTCTTTGACAGTGACCTTCAGCTCATCTGCATTTTTTGCTCTCTTGTTTCTAATTTTCCTCTTGACAATACACCATAGATTTTCTATGGGGTTCAGGTCTGGTGAGTTTGCTGGCCAGTCAAGCACACCAACACCATGGTCATTTAACCAACTTTTGGTGCTTTTGGCAGTGTAGGCAGGTGCCAAATCCTGCTGGAAAATGAAATCAGCATCTTCAAAAAGCTGGTCAGCAGAAGGAAGCATGAAGTGCTCCAAAATTTCTTGGTAAACGGGTGCAGTGACGTTGGTTTTCAAAAAACACAATGGACCAACACCAGCAGATGACATTGCACCCCAAATCATCACAGACTGTGGAAACTTAACACTGGACTTCAAGCAACTTGGGCTACGAGCTTCTCCATGAATTTGAGTTGAATTACTGAAATAAATGAACTTTTCCATGACATTCTAATTTATTGAGATGCACCTGTGTATAGCCAGATGCCCCGCCGATTCTGGCGGGCTTTGGCGGGCTTCTTCGCCATAGGCTCGTGCAGCTCCAAATAATGCTGACAACATACGGTACGGACTTAAAGACATGGGCTTTATTTCCAAGATGATGCCTGATGAGCTTTGAATTTCAATACAGTATAGATCAGTATTAACAGAGGCTTGTATTGTAATATTTATTCAAATTAATTTCTGATGCTAATACCAGATATACCAGATAATATTAATATTTCCTGCATAATTACTTACATAAAGAAATATATTTTGTGTTGGATCAGTTACCTGTTTCGGGAATGTGCATCAGACACTCCCACCTAAACCATTTCAATATATCCTGCCCGAAAAGACCATAAACATTGCAGATAACATCTTAAATAACAATTAATTTACATACACATATTTACTTACACTTCAAATGAGGTGATTTTAGCTCAAGGTTTTGGCTGTCAGTCAATGGTGCTCTCTGCTGGTCGGGAATAGTAAGATGGCCGCTCGAACACTTCCGGTGGCTTCACAGCCGAATGGCAGTTTAGAGTGCAATGAGCAATCCAGTCATTAGATCAGATGACACTTATACTGTCACAAGTGGCTCAAATGATGTTGTTCTTTCGCAATCCTTATTCTCCTTGTATAGATGTAAATGAAAGTTGTGAGATACCATTTCACTTTCATGTTTTAGGTGTTTATATTTGTAATTTTGTCCCCCTCTAGATATAGATGAATGTCTGTTCAGTCTGTCTGTATGTGGTCCAGATTCCAACTGCACAAATGAAATTGGAAGATACAGTTGCTCATGTCTGGATGGATTCACTGCAACAAACTCAAGTCTCACCATCAGCATCAATAACACATGTAGAGGTACTGGTGCAGTTTCAACATGAAATTTAGGCCTTAAATACAGTTTTTATAGACACATTTTTCTTTGTGCGAACAGTTTCAAAATCATGCTTTTTCTGTTGTTGTTGTTTTTTTTGTTTTTGTGTGTGTGTGTGTGTGTGTGTGTGTGTGTGTGTGTGTGATTACATTGTTTTATATTGTTTTTTCTCAATCCTTATTCTCCTTGTATAGATGTAGATGAATATTGTGAGATACCATTTCACTTTCATGTTTTAGGTGTTTATATTGGTGAATTTTTTCTCCCCCAGATATAAATGAATGTCTGTTCAGTCCATCTGTATGTGGTCCAGATTCCAACTGCACAAATGAAATGGGAAGTTATAATTGCTCATGTCTGGATGGATTCACTGCAACAAACTCAAGTCTCCACATCAGCATCAATAACACATGTAGAGGTACGTTTTATATTTAGATTTGTGTTTACTCTAGCTTTGAATAATTAGCTACAGTTTATTCAATTGATTTTTCATTTTTGTAGCATTCTGTTTAAAAGATTTCAAAGTATGAGTTGACCTTTACATATGTATGAGTGATCCAAACTCTTCTTTTCCCCGTAACTTCCTTTTAATATAGATGTGAATGAATGTGTTGAGATATCAGACGTCTGTGGTCCAAACTCAATCTGCAACAACACTGTTGGGAGTTACAATTGTTCATGCATGAGTGGATATAATGTAACAGACACAAACCTCCCTATAAACAATAATAACCCATGCAAAGGTATGATTGACAGCTGAAGCTCTGAACAGTAACTGTTTATTCTGACTAATTTTTTTTGTCAACTGTAACCTGTCCCCTTATAATTTTTTTACAATTTTTAATTTCAGATATTCATGAATGTCTTGACTCGGCATCAGTGTGTGGACTAAACTCTTACTGTTACAATTACAACGGAAGCTTCTCATGCTTTTGTTGGGAAGGATATAATGTCTCAGATGTAAATAAAGATATTTCCAAAAGAAATCCATGCATCGGTAAGTTTGCTGTATGTTATATTTACTGTTATGATTTTCAGGTATTATTTATTGGAAACTGCTCAAAATGGTGTCATCTTTAGATTGTTGTGTAATTTTACATATGTCTTTATCAATGTTAATAATCATTTTATATATATATATATATATATATATA